CTTGTTTTCTCTTTGGGGGGGGGGGGGAGTCACCAGAGGACTGTCAGCAGAAGACTAGCAGAGTCCTGACAGACAGAGAGCGCGTTTTCTCATGTCACAGCTGATTACATTCACTCCGAAGTGGGAAAAGAGCAGGGAGGAGACAGAGATGTGGGGCCGGGATAAACGAGGGAGACTTCCATGTTGTTCCAGAGATAAAGGACATTCTTCTCAGAAACAATAGTGCTATTAACTGTTAATGTACACAGTTTGACCCGCTTTGAGTGGTAGCAAGTAAAGCATGAAGACTTTGCCGGGAGTCATATTTTTACAAGCTTACTTATTCCACCTGTAATCAATCTGAGAGACTTTGTGAAAAGAAAAACATTTTAGTATCACTTTCTAGACAAAAGTATATGTACATATATCTGCCTTAATTGTCAATTAAAAACATTACTGATCACCAATTTCCTAAATCATTCTCCGTGGTCTTATATTCTTATATTATATATGTTTGATTCTGTTGTTGAATCATAGATAAAATAACTTTTACACACCGCTGAATCCTGAGCAGTAGACAAATCTGCCTGCTGGTGTCTGCACCACTTTGTCCATTTACCTTTGCTCTTTTTTTGTCCTGTGCTGGCCCAGAAAAAAAAAAAAAGCAATTAAGTTTAAAACGGCCACATGAAAAGAGCAAAACCCAGAATAAACTCCACAGTTAGTTTGTGTCAGACAATTTTGGTTTCCAGGGGTCTCTCCACGGTTTGTGGGGACGCTATTTCTCCTTCTATTCCTGAGATTACACGGGTTGCTGCACCAGGTGACCCTCATGGTCAAACAGGCAACGGAGAGCCTGGCGGAGTTTACATTCCCTCCCCTTCACACCGTCCACAGAAAAGATGCATTTTTAAGAATTTGCAGTCTTTTTTCGTCCTTTCAGAGACACGTCTTTTGTGTTTGTTGATCCCTGTGTCGCCCTTTATACTTGGCTATAATAAACTGTGATAGTGCAGAGAGTGATAGCAGTTGTGGTGACTAGAAGGTGACAAGATGATGTCACATGATATTATGGAGGCTTGAGTGGTGCTAAGGTTTGCTGCTCCACAATGTGAGAATGTCTTGGCCAAATAGACAATTTAACTTTAACGTCTCAAACATTTCTTCAACAAACACACAGTTTGTTTTTGTTATCCCGGCACTGACCAGAGTGGTCGACGCTGCTGAAAATCCTCTCGACGCCCCTTTTCATTGGGAATGAAACACAATGGTGAACATGCAGGCTCTGCAAACTGGAAGATCACTGTTTATCTCCTCCAACAATGCAATCAGTACAAATGCTAGGCCAGGTCTGTCATTTTGTGCCTCCCGCCGAGGTGTTGAGAGGAGTCACCGTGGCGGAAAATCACCTGTTTAGGTGTTGAACACAGCCTCGCCGCTCCTTATTCCTGGCTCTCCTTCCAACTGCTATCCATATTACCCACAGCCAGCACAGATGCAGCAGGAGAGCCGGCTCTCTTTTCACCTAGATTTACCAGAATAACATAGCACCTGAAAGGGCTATCATCGAATGAATCTCAATGATAATGTTTCAAATAAATCTGAAATCTTCTCCAACAACCTATCACTCACGCAATGACACCAAGCACAGCAGATTTTCAAGGGAGACTCGGGTTGTGCTCGCCCGAGCAGATCACATTATCTGTGTGTTGATCTGTGGCCTTTTTTAACTCTGTTTAACCGGCCCTGTTGGCTTTTCTCTGTGTCCACATTCACTATCACAACACCCATAAGACTGTTCTCACCAACATGGATGAGAGAGCCCTGTATCAACACTTAAGGAGGCATTTTATATTTGGTGGTAGAAACTACCACCAAAGGTAGCTGGTCTGGATTTTATTGCACTTTTTGAAGTATCGCATTAGGAAAGCTGTATGGAAACAGCAAAATTCAAAAAAACTTCCTCAATTGCGTAAGAAAGTAGTTGATGCTAAATGGGAAAGGGAAACGCCTTTAATGAATAAATTCTGACATCGCGACCATTTAACTCACATGATAAGCTGTCCTCCCTGATATATACTTATAATGTCTTGGTCTCCAGACAGCCAATAATATCTAACATGAATGAACAATTATAACTTTCACCTAGTTCGTGTTTCCTTTTTATCAACATGTCAAACGTTTGCTTAAAATTCACTTGATGGCTAGAGTCTCAAGAAAACTCCTCCAAATTGGTAAAATCGTATTTTTTAGGATTTTGAAAGACACGTTCAAGTAATTCTAAGCTTATGAAACCAAAGTATTGATTCACATTTTTCTTTAAATGAGAAAAAGTCAGAGAGGATTGTTTCCCTCTTTGTCTCTTTTGTGACTATTTTTCTACCATAATAAATGTGTAGGCATATTTTTGACGATTGCGATAATGATGGTAATAAAAAGAAGAATTTATTATACAGCATAACCGTTTAAATTGTGTATATTTATGAAGATATTTCAGTATTTAATTTAAAGGTAGGTTCGATCCTCGGCTCCTCCGGTCCACATGTTGCAGTGTCCTTGGGCAAGATATTGAACCCCAAATTGTTTCGAAGGCTGTGCCATCAGTGTGTTGAATGTTCCCAAAGTGTTGGAGCATCCAGATGTGCTCACATAATATTCCGTAGGTACATATAGATGTGGGAGCGTGCTATCAAATGTTGTACCTAGACTGAAGCTCTGTTATCCTTTCTGTTACTTCTGCATACAAAGTCAGAATCAGGTTTGTGCGTTTCTAACATTTGAGACGTCGAGATCTCCGGAGGACAACTGCTGGACACATAAAAGACAATCTCGCGATTATCGAGGAAAAACTGGATGACTTTCAGACGAGGGGAGGCAATATCAATCACGGCCAATTTGAGGCCACCTACATGAAATATGATTTCATAAGACAAATGCAGTGTCATTCTTAATGTGCTTAACCTTTACTGTCAATGAAAAAGTATTGATCGCTCTGTGGCATTTTTTCATCATTTGATTTCAGAAAGTGTAATAATATATGGTGGTGGGGTAAGATAAAAAAAAAAAAGGAATGATTCCAGATGAACGCAGCTGAACAGAGAGTGCGGAAACATTGATGCTCTCAGTAAAGTTATCTCTTTAACAGCACATTGTATTTTTACAGAAATGTGATTTAATAACGCATGCAATCCTTTATTTTGTTTTAAACCTTTTATATAAACTCTACGTTTAATTTCAGCATTTTTGTTTGAATATGTTTCCAACCGGTATTCAGCAGCAGGGAGCAGGCAGCCTGCTTCTAAGCAATGTTTCTATTATTTCTCTATTCTGTTGAGTAATTGGGAGGTCTCCTATCTCTTCTTGGTCTTTGATCTACTTACTCAACCTAATAAGACTTTGCTCTGCTGCACTACAACCAAATCAGCAGTGCATTTTCAGCCCCCTAATAAGTGGTTAGCTTGATTTATATGGGTAATCTCGGCGATGTGGCGGGGCTCTACAACCCGTCCCCGACGCAAGGAGCCTCTTTTCACAACCACAGGCCAGACCAGATGAGTCCATTACAGCGGAGGGTAAGGAAATGGTCATTTCAACCCTCCTCTCCTTCAAAAGTAGCAGTGCGATAGTGCATTATGACGCAGGAGGAATTCTTAGTCGAAGCATATTGAAGGGGGGTTGGCGATACAGTGATGCATGGCCACACAGCCTGGCTCTATTGTGAAAGCGGATGCTGTTGGGCCAATGCTGCGGGTGGAGCGGCTCGGCTCGACCCGTGGGGAGCCCCGGGGGCCAGAGGAAGCACTTAGAGTGGTAAAATGGCCACTTATTCACAACCACCCTCCCCGTTCTCTACTGCTCCTCCCTACCCTTGAGCATCCCACTGGGTTGAGGAGCACAGACCTCTGGGAACTGTATGATGGACTACTGGTCTAGACAGACCTCACTGCGGTTAGCCTTTTCTGGCCTTGGCAACAATGAAGCTCCGCCCACACGGAGCCCTCCTGAATCTCTCTTTTTTTAAAGAATTAACATTAAACTGGTAAACATCTGCATGGGCGACATAAAGACTAATCATTTCTTTGCTCTCACCAGCTGAATCCATTGGCCAGCCAGGCGGCGGTAGCGGCGGCAGCAGCCATGGGATCCATCGCCGGTTCTCAGGTGTTCGGCAACGCCTTGTCAAACCTGCAAGGAGCCACCGGACAGCTGGTCACCAACGCACAAGGACAGGTGAGTGCTGTGTATTGGAGGCTGACACGATAGCGGAAAAAAAATACATTCTGAATGATCTATTATACCTACAGCTAATTAAATACTTCAGTCCCCTTGGTAATGGATCTGTAAGAGATGTTGCTGGACCATCTATCACGTACGAATGTGCAGCTCCAAACAAAACAGTTGTATAGTATTTCTGATCTTTCCTCATAGATTTCTAGTGGGGGAGCTGTGTGTTGTCTTCAAGCTTTGTCTACACTCTAGTAGCCACCCCACCATATATTAAGCTTTTTGGGAATAAACAAAGCCCTTCTTTCTCCTATCCGCATGCGTCTGTCGCTGTAAAACGCTGACCTTGTCATATTTACAGGGTGGCTGCAGAATTGTTCCATCAGTAGCCAGAGGCTTGAACGATGATGCTTGTCATTGTAGGTCCCTATCTAATGAATCATCTTATCGCAGGTGCACACAGCACATATTAAAGGAAAAGTGTATGGACAATGTGCCCTTTCATGCCACTCTATTATTTACCTTAACCCCTGTTTCATCTTTTGACGCTTGCACTGTTCTCAGTATAAACTTAACACAAATATGGTGAAAACAAAGCACAGGTGACATTTGTTACCAATAAAAACAGTTGATTTGTAATTATTAAATTTGACATTTAGCCCAGTGGACTTGGGTTTCAGGTCCACCAGTGTGACCATGCCGCGTTGTTTATAGTAAAGTGTTGTCCGTGTGCGAGCGCTTGATGCTAAACGTCGCTAATGAGACAGTATGGACTCACAAGGTGCCTGGAGCACTGGGGACAGATCACTGTGGATATGGACTTGATGGGATGCTCTGTGCTTTTGTAGTGTCTTGGCGGCTGACAGTCCCTGACATAATCAGGTCACAGAGACGGTCAAAGCCGTGGGCTACAGCCTTTACTCCCCACCTCATTATTCCACAGCATTATTCAGACGGAGGGCTCTGAAACACGCACTGCCATATCAGAAGGTCCCTGCGCACCCCCCCCCCCTCTCCCCCCAGCTCTGAGGAGATTATACAGGCTAATACATACCTCAAACAAGGCTAGAGGTCCACCAAACACACTCTGAGAACGTATGTCAGCATGGAAAGACTAAAAAAACAGGAGGAAATGCAGCAGCTTTTAACTATTTTTGGTTTGTATTTCCTCGAGATCTGCTTTCATCCAGTCAGTGTTTCATTGGAATTAAGAGATCAATCTTTATCATCTCTGTACTCCATGAGTAAAAAGTCACTGTTGCTTGAATTTAAAACATGGTATACTGTCTTTGACCTTTTAATTTCCTCCACAACTCTGTCAAAAGACCTTTTTATAAGCAAGAGCTCTGGGGACCTTGGAAAGTGCCGTGTTTGATGGACTTTTGGAGTTCAATATGTTTTTAAACCTTAATTATATTGGCCCCAGCTTCTTTATTCTCCAAGGGGAATCAATGAGGCTCTTTCTATCCTCACCGCATCTACAACAGTGATTAAGGCTGTGGGTAAAAGTCAGAATATTGTTAACTGTCACTCCGGATTTTTTTTTTTCTCCTTTGTGGCATTTTTGTGAACATCTTCTATTCAATGCAAATTCTCACTTTGCCTGCAGCTTTAATGTGGCAGTAAAACTGTGTTGGGAAATGAGGACATTAGGGGCTGATTCATGCAGCGTACTGCACGTCCTGAAAGGTGTAGACAGCACCGACATGGTTTGTGTGTGTGGAACATGCCAGTTTGATAAACACTGGTTCCTTAGCTTTGTATATGGAACCTGCTTCTACCCCGAATTTGGGTTGTCAGGGCCATGCATCCCTTTTACTCCCAGCATTCCAAGCCTTTGGTGAGGTCTCTGTGCCCCTGAGGTGGACTCTGCTGGAACTAATGCAGAGAACAACAGGTAAGGAGCACATGCACGGTTAACCTGCAAAGCAAGTGTGACCTTTGTATCGACGGAAGCTTCCAGCCCTTAGATTAAATGTAACCGCAGTGCAAACTGCTGTTGCCCTTGTAACTGTAAATCTTCTGTAGGACTACAGCTATTGATTATTTTCAGTATCAATTATTCTTTGAAGTTCACAGATTGCTTGTTTTGTCCGACCAACAATCCCAAAACCAAAGATAATACATTCATAATGATATAAAACACAGAAAAGCAGCAAATTCTTACATTTTAGGCTCTGCAACAAGCTACAGTTTGACGAACTAATCATTGCTGCATTAATCTACTGTATCTGCATCTAGTTGTATACTTAAAATTAAATAGAAAATACCTGACAGCTTACCCAGGAAATGTCCTTCGAATCGACCATTATAAGTCTGCTATTTTAGCCTTTGATTTGCTCTGAATGTTAGCTTTTATGGACTTGTGTGTTGACACGAGTCCAAACTTCCCAAACATTTTCCCTCCTGGGTCTCAATTCACCGCATGAACAGTGGAGGAGAGAAAATGGGCAGAGATATTGCCTGGCGACCATGGCTAAAGATACAGATTGCCCTGGCTGGAGAGATGAGATGACATTTCTGTGGAAACAAGAGCAGCATAATCTTAATGAGTTCTGCCGGGTGGAGAGAGGCACGTTACTCACATGCCATACGAAGTGGAGCGGGAAGCAAACACGGGAAGCCAAATAAACGGGAACAAACTGAAAAATAACTGACGAGAGAGGCCTTAGCAGTGAACAAGAGATTTAGAAATGGTGCTATGATTAAACTGCACCTGAAGAAATGAAAATGATTGCGTGTCCCCATCAAATTTGGGCTTTTTGTTCAGAGAGTAATGTTCCTGCAGGTTGACTGCAGCTTTTAAAGCACAAAATCAACCTTCTTAGGAGTAACTTCACTGGCGTACATTATGAGTAAAAACATGAGGAAGCGCTCAAAAAGTTTACTCAAAAAGTAAAAGGTCTGATTATCATTATCTTAATCTATAAAGTCAATAATACTTTTATAAATGAGGGCCATGCTCTGTAAACCTCTCCCCATTAGGAAAGTGTATAATAAACTCCTCCCTTCTGTCTATAAATTAGCTCTCAAACAGTTGACTGCTCTGAGAACGTTACCCTTCCAGCTCAAGAAGAGCTGTGAGACGCTGCCATGAAACATCTGCCCGAGATAGTCAGATGAAGAGGCATTGCATTGTGGGACAGGGACGGGAGCTAAGCTGTCAGTTGCCTGCTATTTTATTATGCTTATAGAACAACCACTTAGTCCAATGACGATGAATAATTGAGCGGAACAAGTTCCCTGCCACAGCGGCATGCAAAGCGGGATCAGTGGGACTCCGGAGACAAGAGCGTCAGGCAGGGCAATAAAATATGCTAAGTGGCAGGAGAGCATTACAGCGCATTTGTAAAGCCGGCGCGGAGAGAGAGATAAATTATCTCTCCCCTAATGCGAAGCAACGTAAGCAAATGAGCCGTGGCAGGGATGAATTACAGATTGTCGGCCCACCTTTCTCTCACTGATCCCTCCCTATTATGTCAAAGGGACGAAGGGAGGGGAGGGGGAGGAGGACCCGGTGCTGAAACACATCAGCAGCGGTGGCTATAAGGGAGCCAGACGAGGCCTGGCTAATAATATGTAGAAGCTGTTTGTAGTTTTGTGTTGAGGTGTAGAAGCTTAAACTAAAATATGAACTTAAAAAAAGAAGAGTTGAAGACGGTGCAATTTTTTTGCAGAAAGCAGCTCTTTGTCCAGTTGCCAAATAACAGAATTTGGAATGATGGGCGTCTCATGCACGTTGAGCTGCTCTCTTGTGTAATGAGGCTTGGTGGAGGAGCGATGTCAGCGGGGGGACGGGGCCACGGCTGCTCAGAACCAGTCCCCAGATGACATTAACCTTCATCATGGTGAAGAGGCGCTAAGTCCCCCCTAAAGCGCCACTCTTGGCCACACTCTGGCAGCTCTGAGAGCTAAAACGCTGCAGTGACACTCTGCCGCCCCCTTTGATCTGCCCTTCCTGATTACAGCCACAGAGGAGAGGAAAGCCTGAGCTGGAGGGGGGTGGAGGAGGGATGAAGTACCCCTGGGACCCCTGAGAGTTGAATTAGAAACACAAGGTCCTGTCTCACTCTCTGATGCTCCTCTTTTCTCCCTCTTATTTTTTTTTTTCTTGCTCTTTCCTTCCACTTCGTCCTCTCTGCTCCGGGTGTGTGAGAGAGGGTGGAATGGGGGTCTCTCGGCAGCCTCACTCCTTCTCACCAGAGACAGACAAAGACACTTAAGCACAAACACACTTAGACACACACAGTCGCACACTCATCCCGGGCTTGGCCTGGTGATGGATAATACAGTCAGTGGTGTGCACCATCACACACACAGGTATTCAGCGCTGACCTTTGCAGTGCGCTCCCAGCAGTCTGCTTTGGCTTCACTTGCTCCAGCCTGTAAAACCACCAGACAGATGTTCAGTGGACACTTGTGCATGTTTTCCTCTGAAAATCACACACAGACTCAAACACTGAGTGCTCTGATTAACCTCACAACACAGCTAAATGACCGGCTCATGCTTTGTTTCCAAAAAGTCCCCCCAAAAAAAGACACAGCGGCAGAGATCATTAAGACTCATACCTCCAGTTGCGTTTACCCTCTCTGCTCCATCTTCTTTTTCAAAACTGCCGGCTGATTTCGTCTCCTCTCTACCCCCTTTGTAGATAATTGGAACAATCCCACTGATGCCCAACTCTGCAGGGCCCTCCAGCCAATCAGGGGGTGGCAACCCAGCACTGCAGGTACAGCCAATTACACCTCAGCTTCTGACCAACGCTCAAGGCCAGATCATCGCCACAGTGATCGGCAATCAGATCCTGCCTGTCATCAACACCCAGGGAATCACGCTGTCACCAATCAAGCCCGGACAGCAGGTAACACACACTCCAATGCACCAACACGCACACAGATACAGGGGAAGGTGTCTCGTAGAGACGCTTATTATTACACACTTACTGCTGCTTCAACAATGATCAAGAGATGACTTTAAAAGTGTTGAATGAGCAACACCTAGTGGAGTCAGACCAGAGCTCTGTTTATTCATGAAAGCATTATTCCAGCGCTGCTAGTCAGGTCTGCTTTATGCTAAACGCCTCGTATTTTTCCTGCTTCAAACCTCATAACGATCATTTGCGTAATTCCACTTCAAAAATAGTTTTTGGTACAATTGTTCACAATGTGTGTGTGTGTGTGTATTTGCATGCTTCACTCTGTGCATGTGCATGTTTGGAAGGCACTTGTCAGCCAACCTTTTAGACTCAGTCTCAGGGAGCCCCTGTAGAGCCCAAACCCCCCCCCCCCCCCCAAAAAAAACAAAAAACAAAGACCCACTTTTCATCATACCACTTAAAACTCGAACACTCACGCCTCTGTTCTCCCTCCTTCTCTCCTTCCTCAATCACACTCTCCATTCTTATGATTTGTCCTCTCTGACCTGAACAAGAAGTATTTTGATTTGATTTAAAAGAAGGCGCATAACACAATCAAGTTCTTTATTTATTTGTACACTAGTTTAAAACTGTCAAACATTTTCTCCTTCCAACTTGAAGATCTATACAGTGTTCAATTGTGCAGTCAGATGCATGCACACAACAAATAACATGTTATTGACTTGATAATGACGATGTCAGCGCAGAATTACAGGGTAAAAGTTCACACTGAAGGCCTGTACAGTTTAGAATGGATGAACTTCAGATGGACGGCTCCCCAAAACACCAGATCATACTCTTGAATGAATTAATGCATTTGTAATAATGTTTATGCTTTTGTCTCCACTTCAAAGCCCGCATGTACACATTGTTCCATGGGCATAATTTACGGTTGTCAGAGTCTGCAGTCTAGAATATTTCCAGTGAAGCTAGATAATTCTCAGTGCCTGTCAACAGTCCTGACAGTGTGTGCATCGCTGTTGACACCCCCCACCATCCAAACAAACACATGCCACAGAGAAAATAATTAATAGCAAAGAAGGAGAGGAGAAGCCGGCCTAGCTCATGGCAGAGACAGCTTCTCGCTTTAAGATAGAAGACGCACCATCTTGATCTTGTAAAAGCAATTCAAATGTGCATAAAACATGAAAATACATTGTTTTTTCGCCATCAGAGAACGTAGCTTGTGGATCATGAATTATGTTTGATATGGGGACTGCTGTGTCCACATTTATATTTCAGATTCAGGCTGCCATTATTGGCATCCTCGCAGGTCTGATGACGAGAGAGGAGACTCTAATTGTCACGAGCAGTTTTCTTTTCTTTTTTTTCAACTAAGTTGTTTTCGGCAAAGAATGGATGTGAAGCTGTGGAGTACCTGAGTTGACTCTCAGTCTCCTGCAATAGTGAACCACTGCTGTAGTCTATTGAGCAGACTATTGACACTATATTCTGCGCTGTCAGTTTAGATACTGCAGGCAGTAATTAACATTTATTCATCACTAGGTAGATGTCATTATATTCAGCTTCTAAGTGGCGAATTTAATATCTGTTGATTTGATTTAATATTATATTCCAATCACCATAATGACACGATAACCTATAAATGATGATTATTGTGCTGATGTAGGAGAGGAAATAATGGATATTTTTCTGTACTGCGTGCTGTCAATATATTATATCAGCTGTGTGTGTGTGTGTGTGTGTGTTTGTGTCCAGCTGCCTCAGGCTCAGCAGGGTCAGACAGGCCCGGCATCGTCTCAGTCCAACCTGCTCCACATGCCCCACAGACAGAGTCCTCTCCACCAGGCCTCTTCCTCCTCCTCCACCTCCTCCTCTTCCTCGGCTCTCAGCGTGGGGCAGCTGGTCAGCAGTAAGTGTCCGACACAGCTTACGAAAACACATGTCCGAATTTTAACAACAAAACATATTCTCATGTAACTCTAGTGATAGTTAAAAAATGGGTCACAAGAACATAGATTCTTTTTTTTTAAAGCTAAATTTTTTCCTAAAACAGCTGAGCATTGATGCTTTTAGCAAACATCACCCAAACAGTAATAAATGGAGTATTTTCATCAGCCGATTAATACACATTTGGTGCTCTAGTAAGTATTTACAGCAGCACGACGGTTTATGTGGTATTTATATAAAATAAAGTACAATGTGTGTGTTCAACCAAATGAAGGAACATGTTACTCTGTGTGTTGACGTTATGTTTGATAGTCTTTGAACAATGGAGCTCTGTGGTACAGAGGAGTTAATGTTGGCATCACAAAATATGTTTAATATCCCTCAACTTACTCTTTAAAAATAACAAATAAAAGAAATAGAGAAAGAAAAGAAATATTACTGTAATGAATGAAATGAAATCTTGACAGAAATTAGATTTATTATTATTATATATAATCATATGGGCATTTTTGCAGCGCACACAGACCTCAATGTGAATTGTTTTAATTCTAACTACTTTCCACTGAATAAATATTCCCTATGAAATATGGTGACAACATGTTCTGTGGAATATCTAGAGTAACAGGGACACAGTGTCTGTGAAGACATGTTGCTGCAATTATTGAATGTTTCGAGTAGTGAAATTCAATTTACGTCCATTGTGTTTAGGTGAGGCAAACATTTCAAACCTTAGCCAGATTAAACCCAAACTCTCTGCATGGCTAAATACCAGAGGTAAGATAATAAAAATATGTTTTGTAATTTAGCAGAACTGTCCATTTAAAGATTCAACATGGCGGCTGCACAGTATCTACAGTACTCTGTGTGGACAACTTTTGACTGATCCCCGCCTCCTACAATTGTTTCATGTTTGCTGACTGTTTTTTCTTTGGTTTATTAGACGATCCAAAGTGGCGTGTGTTATGTTTAATGAACATAAGTTTCATTCTTCCAATGCGTGGGCCGATAAATCACTGGACCACAGCCTGTCAGCGTGCAGCCATAGCCTTTTAAAACTCACTTTTATTCAGATACATTTCATTTGTCAGAGTCGATTCTCCTAAACTCTTTGTAAACTCATTTCAAAGGCAGCTACAATGCCACTGAATTTAATAAAAAACAAGTCGCCATTGATCAACTTGTTGTAGACGCCGTGTTTCGTGTGTTTACTTGTAGCCTGGAAAAAAATCTTATAAACAATTTTTGAGTCCGCACAAAATCATTGTGGCTCAGTTCTGCAGTAAATAGAATTAATGCTTTATGCTGAGTACGAGCCATATCACTTCCTCTCAATATCACTTGCCACATACATACACAAAGACAATCCCATGACAGAGTCAGATGCGTCCGCTGAGGAGAGAAGATGAAATGTCATTGCATTCGCCGGCCACAAACAAAAGTGCCAGAAACAGATTAAAAAGCAGAGAATGTCTGTTACTGTTATTTAGAAATAATCAGATGGGAAAATGTCAATCACGAAGAAGAATGTCCGCAACGTTTTCCCTTCAGGTTGTTTTCATTTTAACTTTATATTTATTTATTGACCATTTTACATGTTGGTATCTGATCACAGTGCGGTAAGAATTGACATAACAAAGACGCTTATTGATACCAGGTGTAAATGCAAAGACAGCATAATGCATGCAAATACAGATCACATGTTAGTAGAAGGTGTAAATAAGCTTTTAAACTTGTTGAGGAACAAGAGAACAGTACTTATTCACTTTTCCTAGTCACATTTCTTAAGTCTTTGTAGATTTAAATGAAGGTCACAACTACAAACGTCATCATCTTTTAGTCTGGTTCAGGTCGATGATGAAAAAGTAACATTCTTTCACCTCAAGTGGAGGACAGATAGACAAAAGCTTGACTTCATTGTGTGCCTGGCACATAATAGCACGAGTCCTTTTTTCTCATTTTCCTTTCCAATTGAAAAATGTTGAGTTTAACTTGTTGTTGTCTCCTTATTAGTGCACTATTGCTGTGGGGGAAAGGAGCTTTTGGAGGCAGAGAGTTGTTTCTATTGTTTCAGTGTTTTTAATTTGTCTTTCCAAACATTTTACTAACTCTGTTTATTTTGTGAAAGCTTTACTGCCCCATTCTTTATTGCAAAATAGATTGGAAGTGTTTGAATCTTATATTGTGTTTGGGCTGTGACTTCATGTCTGAAGACAGATGTGGAACCAGAGGTTAGAGCAGTTACTCTAGAGTACCATTAGTCTTTTAAACCACTGAGTAAATAGACTCTGTGGGGAATGATGAAGAGATGCTCATCAATGTGGAGATGATGGGACCCGAAGCTGTGAGTGCTCATCCCTCCCATTTAGTCGGCTCGAAGTCTCCAGTCCCCCATCTTCCAAGTGTTCACACGTCTGGAGCACGCCGCATACGCTACACGTCACTTATGAGGCACAACGAGATGGCAGCCCCATAGATTTTTGCTTAAATACGCTTGGAGGATTCCTTTAATAATTCATTGATAATGACCAAGATGAATAATTCAGAGGCACAAACTTTGCTTTAGTAAGCAGGATGCCAGGGCACCTGACATTGATGTACAATGTGAAATCACTTTTTATTAGCAGGGAGATTTGTCAAAATGCTTCATGGAAGTTTTTTCAGATCTGCTCACATGAAACGGCATTTCTTTGCATAAAGACTTTTCTCTGTCGGACTGGAGCCGGGAATCGTCTGTGCGGGTGTGAAGGCCTGAGCTGTCTTCACACAGGGTCAACTGTGTGAAATAATGTCTTTCAGTGTTCTTTAATGTTTATGTGAGAGGGCTAGCTTTAGTGTATATGTGTCTTCATACAGATGAGATAAAAGCAAAGGACCTCCAGTGTCTATCCGCTCATCTATTGAATCAACAAGCGTCGTGTGCTTTTGTCCATATGCTTTTATAGTTGGATTAAAGATTTACACTTGCAAATCAGAGCCGTGGCACGCCTGCATTCACACCTCGGATGACTTTATTCGTCCAAACATCTCTGAGAGTTTACAGCAGAAGGGCAGAGAGGAAATAATAAGTTCTGACCCAGAGCGGGACTGTTTTGTAAAAGCTGTTTAGAGACGACCACGATCACATATGTCTCGCTGTTTGCTTCATTCACTCTGCAAAATGAGGAAATCAACAGAGGAGCAGAGGGCTAATAAAATGAGATGTGTGTGTGTGTGTTGTGTTGTAGACCCACAGACCGCCCCCAGCGAGGTGGACGGGGTCAACCTGGAGGAGATTCGTGAATTCGCCAAAGCATTCAAGATCCGCCGGCTGTCTCTGGGTCTGACACAGACTCAGGTGGGCCAGGCGCTCAGCGCCGCCGAGGGGCCGGCGTACAGCCAGTCCGCCATCTGCAGGTAAGAACAATCAGAGATGGTAAAACTCACACAACAAATGCTTCATTATGTCTGATTAATACATCCTAATTCTAACAAATGAAAGCAGATAAAGTCGTGACATATTGAGTTGTCTGGTGCTCATAACTGCCATCTATTTTTCATTCTGTGTTTCAACAGACATTATTAAGATATTAAAATACATAATTGACTAGCACCACCCTGACAAACGAAGCTCTCATGTCTGTACTTACCTTCCTCCTCTCCGTTGCTTTCCATTCGCTGACATGACAGCCGGATATTACTTATGTAAAATACACACACAAGTATTACACGAAGCACTTAAAGCATTTAATAATTACTAAGGCCTGACGCCGGCTGCTCCGCCTGAACATGAGCGAGCTTGACGGCGATGATCTGTTAATAAGATTGCCATGTTTTACTGCTGCCACCAGGACAGTTCAGTCATAAATGGTGTATTATATATTCATGAGACAATCAGACAATCAGTGTTTCCTCCCTCCTGTTTTTCCACTTGACTAACATTGAGCATGAAGACACCAAATGAGCCACATTTCTCATTCAAGTCAGAATAATTGGGCTACATCATGCCCAAATATCACTTTTTCAAGAGAACCAGATAGTAAAATGTTATTCAACGGTGCAAAAACAATTTAAAGTGTAAGAATAATTTACAAGTTACCAAATAAGTAAACGTTAAATGTCTTTTCTAAAATCTAATTAAAGGATATATGTGTTTGACAACTTTTGTTTGCCAGAAACACACGAGATGTAACACCATTGAAGCCTGTTTTACATCAGTTCTTGACAAGTGTTCCGCTCTGTTTTCAGCTCCTATTCCCGTATTAATTTTAATGTCGCTCTGCATGTACTTTGCTGACGACCTGTACTGTTTATGTGACACAGTGCCACGCACTTTTAGAAATGTCATCACATCAACATCAAACAGCCGATAAAATGTGAAGCAGTACAGCGGCCGGGGTTCTGATGAGGCTCAGCCAGCTCTGACTAATGTTTAAAGTCTTGAAATCACACATCAAATATTTACAGCCAGGCATAATTCAAATATTTATAACATACATTAAAAGCCATTAGCTTCAAAAGTAAACACTCTGTGGGCTGTTATTCATGCCGTTAAGACAATTTTTTTTGTTTGTATGACAGTGAACATGACATCCTGATGTTTTAAGTAGAGGGGCAAACTTCACATGCTTTAGTTTAGTTAACATCAACAGGATGTTAACTAAGGATCAGCGGGACGTCACGGTAGCTCTGGGGCTCCGGCTCTGAACCCAGACAGTGAACAGACACTGACAGATGCTTCCATCTCGTCTCCTTTCATTGCTCAGTATGTTTCCAGGCACTTTATTAGTTTATCTAAACAGGCAGAGGCTTTACAAGAGGGCATCATCAAACCGATGATGTGCCAGCGTGTCCTCTTCTGCCTTACATTTGTCTCGGTTTAGCTAATATGAGTATAAAAATGTTAATACCGGCACACATTTGTCATTTTAAATACACAATTTAAGATAGAAAACATTTGAAACTCCCCTTTATTGGTGTTTTTAGCACCATTATAGACTCTTTCCACATTAGCTAACTCTTTCAAAAGACTCATTTGAGTCAGCATCAAGCAACATGACCAGCTTATAAAACATTATCTTATTTATTTTATCAGTAGCCTGAAGAAGAGATCTCTGACAGATTCAAATGTAATTCACAATGGAAGGTTATTGTTCCCAATCTTTCAATCTTTTGTGTACAACACCTAAAAAAACAACACTTTTTTATATATTAACCAAAAGCTAAACTTCTTAAAAGGATCAGTGTTTAATTAAACTCAACATGAAGCAGCCTTTTAAGAACGTGGCCTCAGAAAAGACAGTTTAAATGTGGCAAAATTAACACGTAAATCAGGGAATATTTGATGAGTGAACGTTACAAATAATCATAACAAAGCATTGGATGCCAACTCTCCTGACAGTAAGCTTGAGCAATATGAATAAAATACTAATATTACGGTATTTGTAATTATCTATCACTATATATTGTGCTAAAAAAATAAAAATATGACAAATCAAGCTGCTTAATGTATTTTAAAGTCATATCAAATGACATTGCCGTTAAACAGTCACATTCAATGCCTTTTGCCATTGGTCTATAACAGCCAGAGATACTAATAAACAAGTATAAACAGTCTCTGACAGTTGAACAAATGATATTGTCTCACTGTATATATTGTCATATCACCCAGTTCTTCCTTTATCTAAGCCTTATTTGAGTCTTATCTAAATATCTATAAACAGTTCAGGGTCATGCTTTAACTAAACCGCACAAATGTATCAGAAGTGAACCAACCCGAGGATGTATGAAGAATACTAGCTGTCATGTCTATCGTCGTCGAGGTAAATCTCTTCTCATACTGTAGATTTTAGGTCATGCGTATCGTCCAGGGCCTATTTTAAGCATTCACTTCTCAAAGACTCTGGTTCGTGGCTGTAAACCTTCAGGCCTCAACATACAGCATGTCTAAGCAGCCTCCTAAGGTACTTTTAAGAAGAGAGGCTGGAGGTGCATTCAGGGAAATCTCCCTCGTGCGGATGCACTAGAGGAGGGAGTGCGTACCCCAGCTGAGCAGCTCTCAACTCATTTTAGTATCTGCGGTTCCTGTTGATCCATGAAATGTCCTGTCTCTGGTGACTCCTCATATTTACTAATGTATCCCCCACAGTATGGAGCCCTCCTCTTTCCACTGTTTAGGGGGAGGTTATAAATAATACCGCCCGTCGACGAGGAGGAATGCACCAACAAAGTGTAGAAGCAGAGGAAGTTCATGCACGCATGGTCTTCTCTCCCTCACTGTTGTTGTCTGCAGCAGCTCACCTCGCCGTTAAAACTGTCTTGTGTGCATTGTTTGCTCCGCAGAGAGCAGAGTACGTCTCTGCTGTCTCTCCGTCAGAGCGGCTGTCAGTTCAGGAGCTGTTTTACTAAAAGCATTCACACACTTCACCCTTTCAGTGAACTCATGTCTGCTTATTTATTTTACTATTCTTAAAAAGCAGCTATTACGATGATTTAAATCTTCCTCTTAGGGCTGGGCTATAATTCAGCACTATCATTTATTGTCTTTCAATGGAATTATATCCTGATGAACTCATATATTAAGATACAATGATACACAATTACAGTGTCTAAATTGATAATAACAAGCCCAAACAAATATTTTTTGCAAAAAAAAGACCTAAATGTGCGTCCTAGTGGTCCCAGACACTGACGTGTCCCCGGTTTGAGTCCAGCTGGGTCCTTTGTTACTGACAACCCTCTTCTGTCTTCGTTCATTTCATGTCAAATATAAGAGCATCGTGTTATCTGATCCTAATACTTTATAAAGCACATGTTCATATCACAGTCCAAAGCACCTGACACCGTCATTGGGCTGCCAGCTAGCAGCTAGCAGGGCTGTTATAAAAAGCCTCATTGTCCATTCTTACCGTGACTCGCTAAAAGTGTGCAGAGTTCATGTAAAGTCAGAATTACATGTCAAGCAGCCGTAAAGTTGCAGGAAGTTTCAGGATTAGAGTGTGCAAATGTATTCTTATTAAATATAAAATGAGACGTTGTTAGAGGATGAAAGAAAGTTTGAAAAATGTATTAAATGTACATTTTGATTAATAATTCAAGCTCCTTTTGTAAATAAATGATGGTGCCATATTTAACTGCATGCATTAGTGGATTATTTTTTTTGTTTTTTTTACCACCTGAGGGAAAGAAATGGGATATTTTGAAGTAATTCCTGTTTTGTTGAATTTTGTAGAATTTTGAAGTGCAGTGTTCCGTTAGATGTTTTCTATGTTTTTGGTTCAACTGGACCTGATTTTAGTCATTGGCAACATCTCCTTGCTCCACTATTGCCAATTTGGGACAGAGGCAAAGCCTCCTCCAAAAAAATTAACACACTACTGGCAACCGTCACCTCCGGCTGCTGCAGCTGAGGTGCTTCCAGGTGCAGAATACAGGAGTTTGGCTCGGATGTGTACCTGGATGTTAGTCTCCGTCCCTGTGGCATTCTGGATGAGGAGACAAAAGGCAGGCAGCTTATCCCTTGTTCTGGCAGGGCACCTAAGATTCTTTTTTCTCAATTCTCCCCAGACACACCATCCTGAGAAGCCACTTTTTCCTACCACAGGAAGCCCAAGAGAACACTATAGGTAGCAGTCTGACAGGAAAACTGAACCCTGGCCTTTTATATCCTGCCAGGTTTGAGAAGTTGGACATCACCCCTAAAAGCGCCCAGAAGATTAAGCCCGTTCTGGAACGCTGGATGGCCGAGGCTGAAGCCCGCCACCGATCCGGCATGCAGAACCTGACTGAGTTTATCGGCAGCGAGCCTTCCAAAAAACGCAAGCGGAGGACCTCTTTCACCCCGCAGGCCCTCGAGATCCTCAACAGCCACTTTGAGAAGAACACACACCCCTCCGGACAGGAAATGACGGAAATAGCCGAGAAACTGAACTATGACAGGGAGGTGGTGCGTGTCTGGTTCTGCAACAAGAGGCAAGCCTTGAAAAACACAATAAAGCGTTTGAAACCGCCCGACCTCGGCCCGGCTGCCCCAATGGACCCTCTCACTGGTACTCTAGAGGAGCTCCCGAAATGAACGAGCTCTCGGGCAAAACAGTGGAGTGGCAAAGTGGCGGGGGGGGGGAGGGGGGGATGAACTGGTGAGAACTGAAAAAAAAATGTTCCCAAGTCACCTGGATGGACAGTCATGAGTTTGCAAACAAAAACTATGTGTTGTTAGTGTGATTACCACAGCTATGTAAATGACCCTGGCGAAACCAAAAAAAACATGAAAAAAGAGATTAATATCTGAGAATTATGTAAAAACATACGGTGTGCTGTTTCAAAGAGTTTTAGGTTCTGGCCTTACGGACCAGTCTAGCGCCCACATTTTGGTTCCCACGAGGAGGGATTTAGTAAAGAGATCATACCAAATCAAAACACTATTTACCAAAGTCTGTTGCATCTGAGTACTAAGAATAATTTTGTAATGTAAATGTGCTCTAAATTTTTACATTTGTACTGGCAAATCTAAGCTATATGTGTGAGGTTGAGTCTACATTTTATCTTTGTCTCGCTTACTTTTTTCTTCATTATTTGTATGTAAATATCTTTAAAAAAAAGAAAAAACAAAGAAAAGTGCTGTGTTCAGAGTTGAGATCACGCTGATAAAGTTTCTCTTTTGGACAAAAAAAAAAAAACTTTGCTGTTAAACAAATAATAATGTTGTTTGCCTCTGATTTGTGTTTCATCTGCAAATATTTTCAGTCACAGTGTAACTTTGTACAACTTTTACAGTTATTTATTAATGATCTCATGAGGTTGTTTCAGAGGACGGACGGGGGGAGTAAACTGAGGACTTTCACATGATGATGATGATGATGATGAGTTTCAGTGTCTGTCAAGTCTACTGCAGCTTTGTTTTGAGCTACTGTGTCATTCTGTTGCCAAAGCCCGATAGCCAAAGAACACATACATTTCAGCTCAAGCACTGGTGAAGACTTTAATTATTATTTCACTTGTTCACGCGGCTTTCTCCCCCTTTTTCTAACGTGTTTTACTCTGTGGGTCAACTTTAACAAAAAAACATGAAACACTACCACATCAAACATTAAGAGCCGATCACGGCAATATAGGAAATGTGTTGGATGAATTTACTTTTAAGCAAATTTACTTTTGCATGCTTCAACTCAAACCACATGTAGAAGGAATATTTTTTTATCAATTTCACCCGGCATTCCCCAAATGAACTCAAAATAACATTATTTTACATGATAAACACTTTAGTTATCCCCTAACACTAAGTAAACATGTGGTTGAAGTCACTGAACAAACTACTGAGCCCATTCGAGTTCAGATGTTTTTATAACCTGAATATTTCAACACAAATATGCTTTTCTGTAAAGATAAATATGTCCTTTATATTCTGCAATCCTCTCTGCTACTGAAGGTTTACAAGTTACAATCAAACATTTTTGAGGAAATTGTTTTTTTTCTTCACCTATGAATTTATTTCTACTGCAGTAAAAAGCTTTAAACGGTTCATTTTTACTGATTCTGTTCAAGATTTCATGTGTTTGTGGTTATTTTTCGGGTAGAAATTCATTTTCAGTCAATTGACTCTCCATCACTGTGTACTAAGCTGTTCATCTTACGTGGTTCTACCTTGTGAGGATATGTCAATATTCCAGGCAACAACATCCCTTCAAATATTTGGTTCTCACAGGAAAAGACAAAAAAAAAAGAAAAAGTGAATGTTGAGAATAAGTGTCACATGTCAGAACGAGTGAACTTAATTTGAAGTGAGGCGAAATTTGATGCAATTTATTCAGAATCATGTGTCTGCTCGATATCTGTCCTTCCATGTCACATTGGTTATCTCAGTCGTTCAGTCCCCTGTGCTCGGCTGTGTTCTTCTTCACTGCCTGGAAAACACACACACACACATACATACACACACGCACACACACACACGTACACACTCGGTACATGTTAGAAAAACACATGAAAAAGCTTTACGTGTCTGTGTTTAAAGAAACAAGTGAGGTCATGTGAGCTCATTTCATTTGATGCACAGAGATGTTTAATATCATCTTAATTTTATTTATTTAATCATATATTCAAGTACATTTTCATCTGTACGTCTACAGCAACTTCTACTTCACAGATGCATTAAGTTCCAATATTTCATTCAGGCAAATCTTTGGCCAAAAATACTACATGTCTGCATTCACCCACCAGACAAGCATATGATGAAGCAGCAGCCTCCTGCAGGTAGAAGATGGATCTGTCCTGAAGCTTACCAATAAAGCTGTAACCAAAACCAAAAAATCAATAAATACAAAGAAGAAGACAGAAAGGAGTTATGCCTTTGCTCAACTTTTCAATGCTGGACCAAAGCTCTCTATAGTTATGCACATTGTACAGAGAAATAGATTCATGATGTTGACAATCTTTAAAAACTGAGATAAAAATAATTGAAAGTAGAAATGTACAGTAGTTCATCCAAGGTTTACCTCAGCACTGTTCTGTGAATCATACAAACGCCACACAAGCAGCAGCGGGTCAGAAGAAAAGACAGACGGTTACTCTGCACTGTGTGTGTGTGTGGGGGTGTACGTGTCGATGTTCACCTTCAATGTGGAGGGAGAGGCTTGTGTTTTATTTATTATTATGTAACACATGATTGTTTTATTTTTGTGAGGTGGTTTCCTGAGCCACGTGACTCTCTGGTCATCGTTTTTTTATTTATTATTATTGTTGCGTTATTTCTCATTCACTGTGACGTTCACCTCTCAGTTTTCACAGACCTGTAGACCCGCGTAGAAAAAGGAGATTACAGTAATGTTGCTCTTAACCCAATTAGGATGACTTGTTAATAATCACCTTTGAATGCTTTTGTGAAATTTTACTAACACAAACAAACTGGTTTGATGTTTTGTTAATAAGTCGAAGAACTCGAAACCAAAGCTGAAGAGCCTGCAGAGGTTGGTTTTCATTTTTTTATAGACTAAAAGCTGTACTTTAATCTATAGAGCAATATCTGTTTGGTCAGTTAAGCAGCACTTTGTGTATTTCCAAAAATAAAAAAAAAGCTTCAAGTCTGTCACATTGATTTGTACCATAATTAGTAATAAACAATTGTTTAACATGAATTGTGTGTCCTGTTTTCAGTAGAATGATTTATTTTTCAAGCCAAATGAATACATATTTGGTCAAAACCGAATCTGATTTAAAATGAATGCTAGATTTTTTTACATCTGTTTTTCAATATATATATAATTATGCCATAGAATTGTATCATTTCCATGACAGTGATGCATGGAACAATGTCAGAGAGACAGACGACTAGCTTCAGAGGCTAACAAACTGCTAGCTTAACTGAAGATAGACTGATATTTCCCTCGCTGTAATCTGAAATTGAAATATATAATATAATATATAATATCTTAGTATGTAGTTTGTTATTCCACATTAGCTTGATTCACTTATGATGGAGAAAAACAGACAGCTAAACTCCTGTTAAAGCTACCTAGTGTAGCAGAGTAGCAGCTAACTATGACTGGTGGAATTCACATGATTTGGAGTAATTAAACAGCCTTTAGATCACATTTAAATCTACTATGTTGTAGATGAATCTATTATTGACTTCAAATGTGGTAGCCTAACATATATAATTACACATAACTGAATGAGGCAGTGACTAAATAATGAAAAGAACACTCCTGCTAAGGCTAACGAGCTGGGCAGATTAGCTGCCATTTCAGTTGTGACGCTAGTGAAATTCATGCTATTTCGTGCCTCTAAACTTAAATTATCATTGATTGGATCATGACTGTAGTTCTATGTAGGGTCTATGGCAGTTAGGTAGGCTCAATACATTTTAAGGAGACAGACAGACTGATAAATAGATGGATGGATGGATGGATAGATAGACACAGGTACAGCGTGCTGCTGAGTTCAAACGCTTCAGTAACATACAAATATTCCACAAACATCGCTGACTCCTCTTTTCATCTTTTCAACTCCACGTAAACACAGGGATGGAAAACGTCAAATAACATCAAACTTGTCCTGACCGTCTCCCTCTGAGGGGTCACGGTCAAGTGCTTCTCAAACCCTCCTGCACACACGTTCATAGTTAAGATGTTATTTGACATTTGACCTTTTTGAACTGACTATTTGCTGTGTTTAATGGCAGGCTACTAAAGGAGCCTTACAAACAATATTTAGCTATGTATTACATTACATTCACATTACATTACAGTCATTTAGCAGACGCTTTTATCCAAAGCGACTTACAATTCAGAGTCTATCACATTTCTACACTGTAGGCACAGCTACGGGAGCAATTTTTGTGTATTAAGATTTGTGTATTAAGATTCACTTGGGGTCAGTAGAGAAGAATAGGCTACATGTCAGGTTTGCTTCTCATCAAAGCTTCATGCGTTTGCCTCGCAAAAAATAACAACAAGACAAGTGTAAAGAAGAAGAAATGTATAAATAAACGGTGAGAAAGCCTTTTGAAACTAAACTCAAAAGTTTGATACGGCTCCCCTGTCCACGATGCCTTTGAAAAAACGGGCAGGCTGCTGAAAAGAAAGTAGTAAATAAATAAATAATAATAATAAAAAGCACAGACAACATAAATTATTAACATTAGACTGAAAACTGATGTTCGAGATGCTTTTTCGTCTTCCTCTCAGCTCCCCCCCCCTTCATTTCAAAACACTGGATGTATTTTTGAGTGGTGATGGCTGAGGTGTACAGCTCCAGTCAGTTATTTGATGTTGTTCTTTTTGTTTTCAATGCGCACCATTTTTATTGTCTTTCCCATTAACAATGTAATTGTGCAGATGCAGCTCCTGACCCACATCTGTGTTCTCAAACTGTTTGTGTTCTGCAGCTGGTAAAAGTTTACTTTCTGTTCTCCGTCTGCAGCAGCGGCACAGTCGTTGCTTTTGAATGAAGGTAGCAGCTCAGCTTAAAGGAACCCTGGTGCAGAATTATAGAAGTAAATGTCCGGGTTCAAGCTTTGTATCAATCATTTATCATCTCATCAGAGGACCTACTGACACACTCAACTCAAACACTGTCAGGATGTCTTATTGTCTGAAATATTTTTGATTCCCACCGCTCGTCCAACATAATCCAAATCTACAGCTTAAAATCCATGTTTCATTCAGGGTTGATGTTAATTCAGTAAAGTCAATTTTATTGATGAATCCTAAAATCATAAGTTTCTCTCAGAGATAGGATCCCACCACTGCCAGGTCTGAAGAGAACATGTTGACATTTTAATTGTATATGATACTCTTCTTCTCATGTGCTCAGTGACTTGGTGAAAAGTCTGGGTTACGAATGTATGAAATAAAAGGTATTAAAACTACACTTGAAGTTGGAGGCCTCACTAAGAACTTGGGCCTTTATTGTCAACACAACTTTATCTTTTGTTATGTTGTGCTAAATTGTGCGATAGATGAATTTGAAGTAAAGTAATAAAGTCTTAAAGTGTAATTAGTGAATGTGTCGGGATGTATGCTTTACAAAGGGACAAATGCATCACCATCATCAAAACTGCATTTTCTTCTCCTTTTCTTAACTTGGTAGAGATCGTAGAGCAGGAGACGGATGTTTGAGGATTCACACCTGAGACTTTGTTGTGTATGATGTTTCTAGTAAAGACAGTTATCCAGTAGAGAAGTGTTTCGACCCCTGAATCTTGTGGTTTATTGTTATTTTCTGAACCTAAAAGGACAGCTGAGGTCTCCTTTAGAAGGATTTAAAGTCCTTTTCTTCGTGTCCCTCCTTCTCTCTCCTTCTCTATACAGTATATATAAATTCTTTCTTAACAGGATCAAAGGGAAGACTGCAGTCTGACTTGTTGCAATGAAACATTCCCGTTCAGCCTGCAACCAGCAGAAATAGTCCTGAGCGGGGGAGAGGGAGGCCGGACAGAAAGAGTATGACATGTCGGCGCTCCAAATGGATTATGTTTCAATATCAGTCAGGACACAGAAACAGAGAGGTGGAGGGAGAGAGTGCATGTGTTGGATGCAGATGGTTTTAAATTGCTGCCTTTGTTTTCCATCAGGCATGAAGCATTCACTTCCCTTATCTTTCAGACAATGCTCGGTGGGCTGATGTTCTGGGTAAATGAACTGTCGGCGTATCCCTCACCCTCCCGCTCCTCCGCCTTCTTGTTTTCACTTCTTCCTCAAGGTTGAGATGTTGGTACACTGAGTGTGAAGCCCGAGCTGCTCAGGCGTCTCCCCACTTTGCTGCTCTGCACACCCAGATGCCTCTGGGGGTGCAATTACCAATCCTCACATGCAATCGGGCTTTGCCATGCATATGATCGCTTTTGCTTTCACTGATGTTCCTGTGTTTATGTTTGGGGTTTTTTCAGCGTTATTAGCATTGACACACTGTGAGGTATTTGCAGGTAATAGCCCGGGTCTTTACAGGGACACCTGTCTGACTTGAGCACCTGATTGCATCGACTCATACTCCATTTAACTTTCTAGCATCTCAGTTTTTTGAATGCATGTCTTTAGGCTGTGATGTCTGTGTTTTCCCACCGCCTTAAACTCTGCTTAGTGTTTCTGTGCAGGAATTGTTTTTCTCCGCAAAGGTCTTAGAGACGCACAGGTGAGACATGCTGCTGTTACACACCTGCTTTCCACCTGCCTCCTGCACACACAGTCCATACCAGGGCTGGAAAACTCAAGTTCTCAAGCTCTGTACTTTTTCAGTATAATTTTGATGTACTTTACTTAAAGTATTAAGAGGCAAATATTATACTCTGCATTTATTTGATAGTTTTTGACAGACTTTGAAAAAAATAAAAATAGTGTTGCCAACTCTGTTTAAATGAAACTAGCACTAGCTCAGAAAGTTGCTAAATGTAGCGAGAAAGTCACCAAGTTGGCAACACTGACAGCCAATCACTTCAGGCCTCCCTCCAAAGCCACTCCCCCAAAATAACATTATGCATGTAAACAACAAACATGGCTGTTGTTAGTACTCACAGCTGTTGAGCTAGCAGCCTGTGGAAGACTCTGTAGGTAGACAGGCAGGTAGGTAGGCATGTATGTAGATATACAGGTAAGTAGACATGCAGGTAGGTTGACGGGTAGGTAGATAGACAGGTAGGTAGGTAGTTAAGTATCGTTTTTGTATTGTGCACTTTAGATGCTTGAAGTATATCTTGTTGATAATACTTTTACTGAAGTAACATTTCCAATGCAGGACTTTTACTTTTAATGGAGTACTTTTACTTAAAGTAAATACTGTGAATGTTTCCTCCACTACTGGTCTTTATTCTACATTTATATACAGCTGAAGATAAAAGAATCTCATGAATAACACTTCATTTAAAAGTTCACATACTGAATGTGTTTCTTTCGAATTCAGTGAGCGAAGTGTAAGAAGCACAAGGACATGATGAAAACGATCGAAACCACCATCAAGTGAATGTCAGTGAATAGTTTCATAATTATTTAACAGTAGAGTCTGTGTGGCTCTACGCTTGTAGTCCGTAAAAGAGAATATGTCTCTCTTTGTGTTGACCTAGAGCATTTAAACCATTTTGTTCTTGTGTGTGAGGGGGTCACAAGCAACAAAGGTTGGGAATCAGTCTTCTATGGTATTTAGTGCGTCAATGGATCTGCTGTGACAAGAAGCTTTTGAACAGCGAGTTAAAGTAAACCTGCAAAATACTACAGAAAAAGATGCAAAATGACCATGAATGACGTTTGCACTCAGAGGTCCGTCGTATAAATAATGTGCTACTTAGTCTAAAACATCAAATAGAAGCATCACACCACATTTTGCCTGAAAATGGACGATTGTGAGTTAAAATGCGGCGGATGAAAACTGAAATTGTTTCCCCTCTCGACAGGTAGTTTGTAAGCGGCGCATGGAAAACCCTTTGGCAAAGTGCAACTCGCCTGCTCATGGGTCATCGCAGCTCTAAGAGCTGGAGGAAAATAGCCGGCCCTGCCCTCCATCATCCTCTCATCCCGCTGACCTCTGTACGTACGGTATAGTATACTTACAGCACACGGAGAAAAGCACAAGAGAGAGGGGGGGAGGGGGGGAGAAAAGAGAATGATTGCATATCTGAAGGCATGGAGAGAGCGGATATGGATGAGAGAGGGGTGACATGGTCGGACACATCTTTGCTTTCTTATTAGTGAGGGTCTGCACGAACAGTTTGGGCCCTTTTTATGGGGCCATGATGAAACCCCTCTTCGTGCATCTGTGGAAAATGGCCGGGGGAAATCACAGATGAGAATCACTCAAAGACAGGGAGATGTCAACAGGCACATAATGATAGCTGATGGCCCCAGAACACTCTCCCCCTCTTCCCTCTCAGCCTCACCTGGCCAAGTTGCACCGCACTAGAAAAGATAATTAGAGGTAAAACAGAGAGACGGAAGCTTTATCTCTGTGTTTTCTGTAAGTAATGCTCTTTGTTTTTATACATCAAGGAGTCCTTCTTTCTTTTCTTCTCCTTCTCAATCTCTCTTTCACTTCATGGAGAAGAGGAGGAGGAGGAGGAGGAGGAGAGCTCCCTCTGTGAGATGCCAAGGTGCTCCCAGTCCATTGTGCTGCTGGCTGTCAGGTTAAATTAGGGACTACAGGCTCCGTGAGTGTAAAAAAATCAATACTTGATGGAAGATTGCTCCCTGGAAAATCTGTTTTGATTCCAGGATTAATTCTTGACCAAAGGCTCCAGCAAAATGACATGCCATTAGCCTGAAAATGAACACATTCTGCAGTGGAAATTGGATGGAAATGTGTCAGGTGATTGCCCCGGTTTTGTTGTTTTGACTCTTTGAGCGAGGGGGGGGGGGGGGGGGGGAGGGAGGTGTGGCTGCTGTGAATGAGGCCTCCATTTCCAGAGCAGGAGACAACTCCGCCGTGGCCTCAGAGTATTCTCAAGGCCATTGTTGTCCGGCGGCTTAAAAGGCACATGTCCGCTCTCTCCTGTGTTTTCCATAAAGCATAAAGAATGAGAAAATCTGAAAATAAAACATCTCTCTGCTCAACAGTGAGGGGAAGAAACGGGGAGGTGAGATGCATTATTGATGAGCGAATAATGTGTTTGTCATGACGGATGACATTTTCTGGTTTGAAAACTTAAACAGGAAGCTGTGAAGATGCACTGGACAGTGATTTGAACAGCCGGAGCATTCGGGCTGCACTAAGTGTTTCATGGAAGAAGAAGAAGAAGAAGAAGAAGAAGAAGAAGAAGAAGAAGAAGAAGAAGAAGAAGAAGAAGAAAAAAACAACACCAGCAGACATGATTTTTAACACCCTGACAACATGTGTCTGACCAGAACATATGAGATGCATTTATTTGTCAGTAATGTTAAATCAGATGTTTTGCTTATCAGCTGATGTGTACAGATAAAGAAACATCGGTCTCCATGCATTATTTTCCTTATTTGGAATTAAAAACACAGATATACATCTTCCTTTTCAATATGCAAAACGGTCTCCTTTTTATTGTAATGTTTCGTTTTATTCCACAGAAACATTGAGTTAAATCCTACCTACTTATAAGTCAAACAGCCTAAATTAATTTCTGATTTGAATCGACTAAATGCAAATCAATATGTTTCAGGTGCAAATTGTCAATTTATAATGAAATAAGAAAAACATTTTGATAATCTTTGACACATTTTTTCAGATTATTAATTTTGGACATTTTAGGGCAATTGTCAGAGCCCAAATTTAATCCTACAAATGATCTAAAACATAACAAAATACCTACTTAGCCTACACATCGTTTCACTGTTTTCAACAAGATTATACATTTTCCAACTTGTTTAAACTTTTCTTGACATCGTGACTTTGCTACAGAAAACAATTGTCTTAAGAGATGGAGCCTGGGATTAAAATAATGTGTGTTTTACTGTATTCATTGTTTGTGTCCTTATTTTATGAAAAGCAGCAACAGACAAAATAAAGCAGTCACAATGTTTTTAGGATGATAAACTGTAAGACAGATACAAAAGATGTAAGGAGACATAATCATGAAAATATGATCTATGTTAAGAGGTTGAATTGTTTTACTGTCATCTGTAAACACAGTGGATGTTTGAGGATGTGTGATGTTTTTAAGTCCTCTCAGTTTTCTGTGGACACCAGTTTTACATCGAGGCACTAGCGCCCCCTGCAGGATTAGAATGTACTATTATCTGATATGTACTATCGATAGATGGCAGCGTGCACCACGGTTTCATCACATTAGAAGTGCACGTTAAAGGAAAAGTACACCCTAAAATAAAACATCTATGCAAGCCTCAGTTACAAAAAAACAACAAACATCTAATTTACATTACATCAATTCAGCCATGTTTGTTTCTACCTGTGTCCCATAGCAGTCAAATTAATGTTGCCAAGCTTCAAAGAGATACTTTTGTGAATGTCATGAAGTTTCCACTTCAAAAAATGTTATTAACTTTTTTCCTCATTAATTGAACAACACATTTACACTGTATTAAAACTCAATAGAATAACAAAATACTATAAAAGTATTATATGTAATGAAACAATAACAATTAATGAATAAATTAAAGTGCAAAAAAATGTTAATAATAAAAATTAACAAAAAAATAAATAATCATATATATGCAAAATTCATTATAAAAAGCAATAAAAATAAGTGGAGTTTTCATAAATTTGACTTTTATTATATAATATTTTGCCATTATGAGGAATTGTGTTGATCAACAGATTTTTACTTTCTTATGCAGTTTAAAACAAATATTAACTTTCGCTTTTTTTATGTCGTGCAAACAAATTCCGTTTTCAGGTGGATTTTCTCTTTCAGGCGCAGGATGATGACGTACTTCAACCAGAAGTTGCTGCTGAGGCAACAAACGCGTGTGTTGCCTTGCACTGTTGCCCAGATGCGTGAGGTCTATTAGGTTTTTACTTTAATATGTCTTGGGTTAAAACTGTTTCCTATAGCGAAGATGTTTTTGACGAGAACGCGGACGACCTCACTCTGCAGAGCAAAGAGTGGACATCCAACATGAAGAAGCGAGTCAAGGTAAAGACAGTGTAGCGTTAGTAGTTTCGTGCAACAGAGGTGTTAAGTTCAGCGGGTTAACGTGATGCTTTTCCCCGACTGATGCTGTGGACAGGACGGGTATGTAAACGGAGTTGAAGCCGGAGAGGAGGCCTCTCTTCAGGCCGGGTTTAACCGCGGCTTCAGGGAAGGAGCAGCTCAGACTGTAGCGGTGGGTCGGCTCAAAGGAATTGTGAGGTAATCCATCATTTATCCCGTAAATGTGATATATATTCAGATACAGGTTGAGTTAGAACAGTGGATACAACTGTGCAATCCCAATATGATAATAAAAGTCTGAGACATGATGTATATTACCCCAAATTCAGTTTTTAATCCTCTGTGCTATGGACACTTTTATGTCCATAAATAGAAGTATTGTGGTTTGATACAGATCCATATTTACCAAGAACAGTGCAGTAAATGCAGGAAACTATAATAAACAATGTCACACAATTTCAATTTTCAATAAGTTAAATCCCAAACAATATCTCAAATCATAATATTGATATACTCGCATTAGAAAAATGATTAATTGAGTCCTGCTGTTGCCACTAAAGACAGACAAATTGTTGTTGAAATGCTCTTTTATGAGCAGAATTGAAAACAGTGTTTACGTGGGGCCGGTAGTTCATATAGTGTTTGTTGTATATGAGTTGTTACTTTTTAGGTATTTAAAACCATGCTGCAGGATTTTGTTGTAGTAGTAGTAGTAGTAGTAGTAGTAGTAGTAGTAGTAGTAGTAGTAGTAGTAGTAGTAGTTTCCTGCCTCTCATTTTTTACTCATGTTTAAAAACTCTTTCAGTCCTTTTTTTTTGTGCACAGAAGCATCATGAGCCTCTCTCTCTCTTTCTGGTCATTATTGAAGACTCTTTTGTGTCCAGCTGATTTCTGTCCCAGTCACTTCTCTGTGCCATTGTCTCACTGTGTCCACACTGTTGCCCCTTTTGTGTCTCACGTCACAGTGCTATATGGTGCTGGTGCCAGATCCAGCATCCGGAAAGCCCCCTCCCGGCCTCTGTGACCGACCTCCTGCGCAGCGTATCGCAGCATGAAGACACAATCGTGGAGGGCATCAGGGCGGTTCTGGAGAATCCTCCTCCCAGTGTGAGCTCCGTCTCTGAGAGCATGGAGGATCTGGAGGTGCAGCAGGCAGAGTCGGGCTGTGGAAGAGAGGGATGTGAAGAAATGGACTGCTGCAAGAAGGGAGAAGAAATGGACCTGGCTGCTCCTCACCGGCAGAAAAAGCTCCGTTCCGGGTCCACCGACTGCTCCGCCGGCTCAAGTGAAAGCCTGAACCTCCTCCTGAAGCGCTGCTTGGATCTGGTGTCAGAGCTCGAACTGCCACAGGAGCTGATCGGTCACATACAGGAGCTGAAGGACGTGTAGAGACTGAAGATCCGAATCACAACAATACTCGGAGGAGCACGTGAACTATGAAACAAAACAGGTTTTACTGTGAGCTCTTTACACAGCAATGAAGTGCTTTTGATGTATATAATGTAAGGTAGAATTTAGCATTCATAATTTATATAACATGGAAGGAGAATGTTTGAAAATAAAAATGGACTCGCTATCATCCACTGCATTTCTGTTCTCACAACAAAACATTATTTATTGTTTGAACATGTATTTTTGTAATGTAGAAGTGCCATTCATTTGTTCTAATATCTAGGAAATGTGTTGGCCCTTTGCTAAATGTGTCCTTTAAATGAATATACAAAAAAACAGTCATAAAGCCACGAGGTAGACTTATATTTGATATTATCAGATCAGGTTGGCAGAATCTAACAAGCAAACCCACTGACTACCAGACTATTTAGTATGCCAGAACAAGATTTAATATGCCAAAAAGTCCAGCCATGTTAAGAGGAAGTATGTCCTAAATGAATGCATACTACATGCAACAGTTCATTCTCTGTAAGCAGCTGCGTTATGTACAAAAAGAAAAAGTATGCGATTTTAAACGCATCTTTTGTTTCAGAGTCTCAAACTGTTGGAACCACACTAAATCCGTCTGACATACTATATGTTATGGTAGTACAGGTATTGGAACGAACAGTGTATTAAAACACGTCATCCACTGTCGTCTCATGCGCGGACTCGCAGCGCACCTGCGCAAGATTGACACCTGTAGATATAGTTTTTGCTTTAGTAAAATCTGGTTTCTGTTTACTTCAATTCATCGAGGATTTACTCTGGTTTCGGATTCTCTGTCCGCCGTGCAGACATGAGAGAAAACAAACATGTTTCCCTCAAGAACTCAAGGCAACACGCGGTGAGTTTGATTCATACATGTTCGTTTAGTGTCTTTAGATATTGAAACAGGAAACATTAGAGACGCATTGTCTCTGTGAAGGGATAGAAGTCTCAGCTGTCGTGAGTACTGCAGAGACAGCTGGAGTGAAATTTGGATACTCTCTGTAATAAACAGTCAATTTATTTGCGTGCTTCTTTTCTCCTAAAGTGGCCACCATTCTCCCCTCGATATTATGTGGCAGTGTCTAATTGTTTGGTACTTTCTGTCATTTGCTTTTCAACCAATTCATTTTAGCTGAATGTCACAATTCTTCTGAGTTGATTGGAGGTTAATTCACATCACCTGTTGCTGCGGAGAATTAATGCAGACCTCATTCTAGCAGATTAGTCCAGGAACTGGTCTACGGGCTCTGTCGAGACTTCTTTGCTGTCTCTTGCTGTTCTGGTTGTGGGTGATTTTGAGCAGTCTGAATCCTAGTTTGGGTAAATGTTAAAGAACACATTTCCACTTTGTTACCTGCTGCATCAGGGCAGGTGTCGGTGATATACGTGCAAGAGTTTGTCTATTGGTATATTTTCATTAAAACCCTTTTTATACACATTTCTTCATGATTAGAGGATTCTTTCATTATTATTAAGGAGGTATGTTTTCATTGTGAAGGCATTTGAGAGGTTTGTTTCTCCAAGTAATTATTTCTGTGTTATGAGTTTTGTTAACTGGTTCTCAGTTTCTTGTTTCTTCCCGATCAGCTTAAATCAGTACCACCACAATTAAATTATTTGGTAATAACAATAAAAACAAGTTATTATTGTACTATACACTCAATCATAATCAAATTGTCGTCAATGAACTTTTTCACCAACCAAATCAATCCATTAAACTGTTTCCGCATTAATGTTTTGATTATGTAAAAAAAAAAAAAAAACACCAGGCTTAACGTGAAGTTTCCTAGCGGCACCTGAACGCAGCAAAGCCCCTTTTGGCGCACATGAGTATGACGTCATGCGCTTGGACCGAGCCGTGACCTGCTGCTCCCGCTATGCTAGGGGTCCGTAGCGACAGATGTTCCGCTTAAAACACAGTAAATACCCGTTATTTGTGAAATGTGGCGCGTTAAACGGTAACAGTTTAGTCACTATAGAAGGTAACCAGCGTGGCAGCAGCGATTCTCACGAGCGACGATCGGTATTTTAGTATTTGGTAGCGCGTGTTGTATATTTTAAGTTTAAACCTCAGCTAGCTGGCTAGCTAACTTAAGCTTGTTTTTTCCAGCTAACTGAAAGTGAAACAGAAAATCGGAGCTACATACGTTGTTGCGAACTTGCGGAGTTCGCCCTTAAATAAACTCGATCGAGGTACGTTTGTTTTTGTCGTTGTTAAAATGGGAGTGACGGTTGTATTCGCTGTCATTGTCGCTACTTCCTTGTGTTGCGTTAACGTTAATAATGGGGTGTAGCTACGATTTAAGCTGTTACTGTACATTTATACTGTAAACACGTAGCAGGTGTTGCACCAAAGTCAGCTGTAATGCCTCTCCAAACATAGATAGTGTTTTATTAGTTTAGTATTTAAATTAGACCGTTTGACAGATGTGAACCAAGTGCATGTGACCACATAGCACATCTGTTATAATACAGTATTTGATTGATGACAATGGGCTCCAGCTAAACATCAGGACAGTTTATAGACTGGTTGACATAATTGATTGTAACACCTGTTCTATCACACAGTGAGGAGTGTTTTTATTCTTCATTATCGTCTCTATAACAAGACATAAACATGGTTTCTTCTTGGCTCTAGCAGCGGCTTGACTCTCCTCATCATGGACCCCTGAAATCTTCAGGCTTCAGCGACTCATCAGGTTGCTTGTTTTTTTCTGTGTGTGTGTGTGTGTGTGTGTGTGTGTGAGAGGTGGGGGGTTGGACTGGAGGTTACAGTTGAGACTATAACTTGTCTCATCTCCCCAAGCAGAGGGAGCGAGCAGATGGGGAACATTTGCTGTCCCCCTGAGAATCCCTGTGGAAATGCGGAGGAAAGAAGTGTTTTGCTGAAGGATGACTCGAAGGCCATGGTGCCCGCAGGGGGAACCATTGTGGGGGGCACCTGTGGCCCTGGAGGAGATGAAGACTTAAGGTGAGATAACCGTTGCAGCTACAGTTGGGATCTCCAGCTTCATATTTTTACATTATCACTACTTATGTCACTACATGATCTGGTGACATGGGTGCCAACTTCACATTTAGGTTTTCCCCCTTTACGTATGACGTGTTTTGTGACCCAACATAGGACATAAGGAGTGCTGAGAATAGGACATGGGGACTTCCAGAGGTCTTTCAGGGTTTTTTTTGGGGGGGTGGGGGGTTTTGTCATTGCACACTAGTGGTTGGTACAGAGATACTATGGAAAGTTTTGATTATACATTTCCCACATCCTGCCCACCTACATGAAAGAAATAATCTTGAAACAGCTTTTTGCTCCGAATATCAAAGCTTGAAGGATGTTTTTGATGTTGTATGATATGACATTGCTAATCCTCTCTGTGTTTTATCATCTAGAAAACTGCCCGATGAGGCCGATATAAAGGTGGAACAGGCTGTGCAGGTGAAGCAGAGTACCGGGATTGCAGAGACGGAGCCCAATAACACTCGTGAGAACGGACCCTTGCAGAAGGAGGTCATGCAAACGGCAGCGCCGTCTCCCAGCAAAGGGTCTGATCTCAAAGAAAACTCTGTCGGAGTACAAGATGAAGATATGAAGGACCGTCCTGCAGACATTAGACAGGCTGAACCCATGCAATGCACTTTAAACTCTCTGCAGGAGCATGCCAGGGCTGATTGGGTGGTTGTTACTGCAACAAATGCGGCAACAGAAGAAGAAAATCCAGTCTCAGAGGAGGACAAAATCCCTGACAGCAGCTCACCAACAATAGAGGCCGTTTGCCCTGAAAAACCTGCTGAGACTAACGCAACAAGAGAGCTCATTACAGTGGACAATACCACTGATAATGATGATGAAGCAGAAGAATCCAAAGTCACTACTGAAAACAGTGTAGCTGAGCCGTCGGGGGAGGTTTCTCACAACAATGAAGTGATATCTGTGCCGAACCCTCGGCCCTCTGCAGCAGCTGGTCAGACGTCGTCCGGTCTGGAGAACGACGAAGAGTCTCCGAGCTGGTGAGTCGCATGACAGGACGAAGTGAGACGTTTCTGCTGCTGTTGTGGATGTCGGTTAAACAAAAACGTATCACGAGGTTGAACTGGAATATGTGACGTTCAGGCTCAGCAATACATCCATGGTGATTTAATAGCAAGTTAAATATGAAGTGTTGAATGAATGATTAAAGGAAAGGGAAGCAGGAAAATCATTTCTACTTTACAAAAGTTAGTAAGAATACTTTTTCTGAGTTCCCCCTTTTTTTTTGTGATGATTTTGCTTTTTTATTTCAGTTGAACATATTCAGATGAAACAAATGAGAGAAGGAATAATTGCTCTTTTCTTGGACTGGTCACAACTTGAACTAGACTACCTAGAATGAGATTTTTCATTCCTCAAAGGACACCATGGAGTATGTTTATACTAGGAGGAGGTCTTCTTATTTATTTGTATTTTATATGTCGCCCAGTCGTGTCTACGGTCACTGCCATCAGAAAATCAATGAGCTATGTGATAAAGTTCATTCATCTGTCAAACGTTACAAAAACAGAAATTCCAACTTGATAATTCCTTAAAAAACATATGAATACAGTTAAAAATATATACTGTTTTTTTTTTTTATTATTTATTTTTTTTTTAAAGCCCGTAGTAATTAATGTCCTTCTCTCATTCTGTGTGTAGTGCTGTGACGGAGGATTCAGACGACGGCAGTTCTTCAGTGAGCATGGAGGGCGGTCCTGAAGTCCTAAAAAGCCACGAGGTCTGCGACTCTCCTCCTGGAGCGGAGCCCACGGGACTCGACCACAGCGGCGTGGAACGAGACTCCACCAACTGTGTCAGGGAGCCAGAGACCACAGCGCCGGCAGACGCCAGCGAGAGGTCAGCGGGTTCAGTGACAAGACGCTTGTTTACAGTAACTGAACACCAGCTGTGTTGTTTGAGAGCCACGCTGTGACCACTAGGGGGCGTATACACACCCCAGCTTGTTGTTTTAGCAGAACCAGTGCAGTGAGCATGCCTGCTCAGATCGGTCCTCAGCAACACGGTTTATTAATATTGAATGTCAGGCAGAGATTCCTTGCTTCATAGTTAGATGATTGTCTATTGCTTACCAATATTTCTGTTCTTTATACCTTCTAATATCCTTTTTTTTTTTTTGTACAATATTTGAATAACTAAATGCATGTTTCATAATATATAATGTCAATACTTTCATAATATGGGTTTAAGACATAAATAGTAAACGTTTGAGTTGTATAATTAAAACAGGAAAAGTACCAAAGATTCTCTCTCTCTCTCTCTCTCTCTCTCTCTCTCTCTCTCTCTCTCTCTCTCTCTCTCTCTCTCTCTCTCTCTCTTCCCCCCCAGCTCAAAGACTGATCAGGATGCAGAGCCAGATGTTGAGTGTTCAACTACGAGCTCAAAGGAGGTCACTTCCTTGGAGAACACCAAACAGGAAATTGAAGAGGAAATGATGGTGAAAGGGCAGGACACAGAAGAAGATGTTCCCAAAGTTGAGGAGGATGAGATTAAGGAGGAGGCAGAGGCAGAGACTGGAAAAGATGCTGAGATTCGGGAGGTAACTGGAAAAGAGGAGCAGCCGGCAGTGAGCTCGTCCCCGGATGTAAACGCTGGTGAGAAACCCGTGAGAAAGGAGGAAGACTCTGCTGAAGAAGGCACGGGGAACAGGTTTGTAATGTGAACATCACATTGAAATATTGTGCAATAATAACTGACGCAACACGGGAAGAGACGGTTTAAACCTATGTGGCCATATAGACTCCGTACCACGTGTTAAATCTTGCACACATCAACCGCAGAGATGATGATAAAAAGTGCACGTGCTGTCAGATTTCTGTGTTTGCATACTAGTATGACACAAAGTCAAAAACATGAAGAAAAATACCAAATTCTGTCAATATTTTGGTCTCTATGGTCATCATTCGGAAGATTTATTAATAGTTTTCAGTTTATTAGGAGTTTAAAAGATAAGGTTTTTGTTCTGCGTATATATTTCATGTTAAATTCCACAAAAATACCAAAACCAACATTGTGAGTCCGTCTCTCCTCACTCTGACGTTTACACACCGTGGCACTCGTTAGTTAGTTATGAGTAAATAAATAGTGCATTCTTTTGGGACTATTTTCAGCTGCGAATTAATACCAATTTGGTGCGCTAGTGAGTACTTGCAGGTGTGTGTGCGTGTGTGTGCGTGTGTGTGCGTGCGTGCGTGTGCGTGCGTGCGTGTGCGTGCGTGCGCGTGCGTGCGCGTCTCAAAACAAACATCAGTGCACATGTTCATTGAAGTGAAGGAGCATCAATATAGCTCTATACAGAGGAATACTACATATCAGGCTGTGTATACACACAAGTACTTGATGGTTAGTAGGATCAGTTCATTGTTAGCTTTGGTCGTTTCATAAGAGTTGTTGACATTAAGAAAATATTAACTATTGTTGTTTTCTTTATCTTTTTTTAGTGAAGAAGACCTTTACAGAGGAGCCGAGGAGCTGTCGGCATCACAACACGATAAACCAGAAACTACAGGTCGGCACAACAACAACATAAACACTTTTATTCTTTTACATTCTTGTTTCAATCCGTGTTAGTGAGCACTTGTGAAGATCATCCATCCACCTGACAGGTGTGGCACATCAAAACGCTGATGATTACACAGGTGTGCATAACACTGGCCACAATAACGGCAGTAAAAGACTTTTATTAGGCCTCTGAACTATGGATTTCACATGACTATGGCTACAGATTATGGGAAAGGACTTTGAACATGGCTTATGGTGGGGAAATGAACATTTAATTGATTCCTTCCGTCAGCTTGCCGATGGCACGCTCCCTCAAAACTTGTGACATCAAGTTCACATTTTAGAGTGGCCTCGTATTGTAATGAGTCCAATGCACACCTGTTTAATCAGCATCTTAATGAGCCACACCTGCTCTTGTCATAACACGCATTAAAACAAATTTGTGCAGAACATTTGAGGGAAACTCGTCATTTGAGTGCATAAGAAAAGTATTGTGTATCGGTTGCATCAGAGATTTCACACAACACTGTTATGTTTGTCATCTAAATAATAGACGATAGTCCTTTTCTTGTTTTGCCCATCATTTCCTCTCTCTCTCTCTCTCACTCTCAGTGTTAAAGGTGGAGGACAGGTGCAGTTTGGGTCCAGTGGTGGAGATTCTGTCTTACAGTGAGAGAGAGTGGAAAGGGAACACTGCCAAAAGTGCTCTCATTAGAAAGGTCGGTGCCTGTAGCTGCTGGGAAGACGTGTTCCAGATTTAGTTTTCTTTTCTTTCTCACGTGAACGGCTTAAAGAGACTCGCTGTGCTGTCCCGGTGTGCTGCTGCAGGGTTACAGAGAGATGTCCCAGAGGTTTGGCTGCGTGAGGAGGGTGAGGGGCGATAACTACTGTGCCCTCAGAGCCACCCTGTTCCAGCTGCTCTCCCACAGCACCCAGCTGCCCGCATGGCTGCAGGAGCAGGATGTGAACATGGTAAATACCAAACACCCGCTTAGCGAGAGGGTCGCTGTTCACTGTTGGCTGAGCTCCATGCTTCTCATTTGTTTTCATCAGCTGTAGCCAGCTAACGTCAGCTAGCTAGCTCTATGACTTGAATACGCTGTCTCTGTTTTTAGTTAAGTAACTGCTAAAACAGCACAGAAAAGCCACAAAACTAAAATCCAAAAGACTAACTTTTCTAATGTCTGTTTTTAATATCAGTGCACAGCTGAAATCTCATTTTTAATTACAGCTGTTGAAGCAACTTGAGGCCCAGGAAGGCCTCTTTAGTCAGTGGACATTTCCTGGAGACTGCCTGCAGGGAGACGGGACAGGAGACGCCACCCTGCAGCTAAAAGGCTACATGGAGCTTCTCCGAAATAAGGTACCGGCTGCTGATCCACTCGGAAACATGCGCACAGCGAGGAGGTATTTTAAAGACACAGAGCGAGTAAACCAGAGGACACTGAGGGTATTGACATTCATCCACAGAGCTTCTGGATGTGATTGCTTCCACATGTTAGAGGGAGGTAGTCTTCTAAATGCTGCACTGCTTCGTCTCCATGTCAAACACACAGCCTCGTAATGCCCGAACGGATTTGGAGGGTTAGATGGACCCTCAGCCAACTGTTAAAACCACAGTGCCTCTTTTCTATAACCACGAGGGCCCCGTGCAGGATTTATAGTCGGCCACTGGCAGCTTGTGAGGAATTCTGGTGTTTAAATGTCAGACCTCTTGCTTTATGAGAGGCAACTGTGTGCTGGTTTCGTTATAGATTCCTCATAATAGACTGTCTGTCTGTCTGTCTGTCTGTCCTGCTTCCACAAATATTCCTTTTAAAGTGCACTAATGTTTATGCAAGAAATGTGGTAAGTGGAAGTATTTCAGTCTTTAAGTAAATACCAGTTTCACAATAACAGTGAAAGCAAAAAGAAACACTGCAGCAAATGGCTTTAAGCAGCAAATGTTTGGCATTTATACTTGATAAATGGCTTTAATGATGAAATGCTCATCAATATAGTTGATTAATTCCGTTGATTTGTTTCCAGTGGCAGGCCGCGGTGGACTGCTCCTCTGCTGTGGAGCGTCAGCAGCTGTGCGAGCGAGTGTTTCACGGAGGAGAAGAGGAGCTGGGCCTGCTGGAGGCGCTCAAGCTGCTGATGATGGGCCGAGCGGTGGAGCTGCACGGCTGCATGATGGGCGGCGGAGACGTCCCGCTCTTCTGCTGGCTGCTGTTCGCTCGGGACTCATCCGACTGCCCGCGCTCCTTCCTCTCCAACCACCTCGGCCACGTGGGCCTCAGCGCCGGGCTGGAGCAGGTAGGAGAAACCCAACCCGCCAACCGCAGATTCGCTTCAACGTGCATTAAAGTGATGTTTTACTGGCTGCATACAGTAGTTTCCTGGCAGCTAGGGGGCATTTACGTGAAGCGTTTTATGGTAAACAACACTCGGTAGGAACGAGCTGCTAGGATTTTCTTCCCCTTTTTGAATCCAGTGATGCAACAACAACTTCATAGTTGGGTGCCATGAGATTTGGGCGTGTAACTGTTTCATAATCGGAGTCCTTAACTGTGAAACATGTTGGAGCTTGTGCTGTTTTTATAACAGCCCCGGGGGGGGGGGCGCTTAAGGACAGAAAAGCTGCTGAGTGATTTGAATTATTGTTTTCAGCTTTTTGATTAAAGCTTTCACGCGTTCCATAAAGAAGCCCCACCCATAAATAGCATGTGCTTGAGCAGTTGATTAAACATCGTGCAGTGTAACCGTGCTATTATCTCCCTGCTTTGTGCAGGTGGAGATGTTCCTGCTGGGCTACGCCTTGCAGTGCACCATCCAAGTTTACAGACTGTACAAGGCCGACACGGACGAGTTTGTCACGTACTACCCGGACGATCATAAGGACGACTGGCCGTCCGTGTGCCTCGTCACGGAGGATGATCGCCACTACAATGTGCCGGTTGTAGAAGCTGCAGAAGAGCTCCACAAGCTGCTCGGCTCCAGCTGATCTCCTGCCATACAAACAAAACACTCCTCAGGTCAATCCAGGTGAATTCATTTACGCCAATTGAAGGAATGTTGGGAAATTGGCTTTCTTGCTGAGAGTTTGACGAAAAGATCGATACCAATTTATGTTTGTCTTTTTTAAATGTGAGGCCACAGCCAGCAGCTGGTTAGCTTAGCACAAAGACTGCAAACGGGGGGGAAACGGCTAGCCTAGCGCTTTGTGGTTAGCCAACCGGCTGCTTGCTGTAGCTTCATATTTAGCGTACAGATAATTAGAGTGGTATCGATCTTCATGTCTAACATACGGCAAGAAAGCAAAGAAGTGTTTCCCAAAATGTTGCTCTATTCCTTTAAAAAAAGATATATGCTGATTTAAGACCCTGTACAAGATGTGGTTTACACACTTCTGTACACACTGTACTGTATACAGAGTTTTCTATTTGGGTACATGTACATATATGTGCATCAGATATTGCAGCATCATCTCAGTTAAGTCCAGATTAGTTAGTGTGTCCTTTTGACTTTCAGGTGGGGGGGAAACCCAAATCTTCTGTGAAACCTTTGTTTTACATTCTTCTCAAAACACAATGGAGCGGCCAACATGATTAGATGGTTGGTGTTTACACTGGAATTTGGGAACTTTCATTTGTGTATTTATATATATTTTTTTCATCATGTGAAAGTGTTTTCAATTAATTGAATTAGTCAGTGAAGGTCTGATTTATGAGGTTTAACAAACGCTCGCACCCGATCGGAGGACGTGGAAGATTAATCACAGCCTCTGTGTCAGAGGATGGTCTGTGTGTATGTTTGCAATTTTGTGTGTGTGTGTGTGTGTGTCAAACTAAATGTGTAACATGTTGCCTTTAACCAAGCTGTTCTGAGGGCAAAAATGTGCCAATCTTGCTGCAAATACTGGCAACAGTTCCAACCACCAGCCACTGGGTTCAGTAGTTAAACGCTCGCTTGGTCCTCCATGTTGCCTTAGAAATAATGCACAATAAGAATGAATGTTGGTTATCGGCGAAAATAGGCTATTTTCTTGCTCTAACCCGAAGGTGATCCGTTAACCGTGAAACATTTATGGCATTGGCAGGAATGTTCTGTCAGATTTTTGGATGGAATTTGGATAAAATGAAAGTACAATTTTTGTAAGTCGTTTTTTTTTTTTTTTGTTTTTCTCCCCTCTTTGATTTTTATCGGCTTGTTATAGCTTTTATTGTTTGTATGAGAACTATTAACATGAATGTGAAGTGAAGAATGCTACATAGTGACTCACTAAGTCTGTTTGGGGTCTCATAGACTCTTATCTGTAAAACATGGTTAAATACAATGGATTTTCATAAACTCTAAATCTGATTGGTGTGGACTTTTTCTTGTATTTTTTTATATTAGCAGCTCTACCCCCTCCTAAAATCCATTTTTCTGGGATCTAAATTAGCATCACTATAGGTCACTATAGTAGAATAAGATACTGAGCAATGGTTTTGCCTTTCAAAGCCCACACGCTTTATGGTCATTACCATATTTGGTCAGTGGGACCCCAAACAACGAGGACCTGGATTCAACGTCAACAAAACACAAGCATTAATAAAGCAATTTATTTGCCAAATAAGAATGCCTATACAGTACGTATGACAGTCTGAATACTACCAGGAAAACGCTTTGCAAAACAAAAGTAGATTGACTCCCAGACTGCATGGAAAGTGAACGATCATAACTATTCTGTAACAATGTTATAACGAGGGATTCCCGACCCCTCTGGGCAATTAAATATACACATTGCATTACCTATACAAAACAACAATAATCTGTACACCGTTGTATGTAAAATACGATTGCACAACCCAACAAGTCCCACAACATGTCTATATTTAAATTCAAGCGAGGCCTTGCCGCTTAGTTTTGATAAAGTAACATCAAATTAATAATTTCTGTATTTTGGCAACTCCACTACCACTCGACAGACGGTTCATTTTCGCTGCTTAGGAGGAAAAGTTCTCCTGTGTCGCTTTCCCTTGTTTACCAGTAAACACACGAAAGTGGTTAATACACCAGCCGATGTGATGACGCAAAACTATGAGAACGGAGGAGAAGCTCGGAAGACATCACGGTATTTACACTGATGAACACTTGGAGGTGCATGGCTTTCTTTACAGTGTGCGTTTTAATGGTGTGTAGGTCGACAGGAAGAAGATCTCGTCACTCTTACTCAGTTCGGTCTGTCGCGAGAACCTCTGAAACCAAACCTCTCCAGCACTGTAACACTCGGCAGTCTCTTCAGCAAAGTTCCACATGGAGGCTGGTGTTACCTTCCCCTGCAGTCAGAGTTCACTCCTGTTCTTCCTCTTCCTCCTGGAGCTCCTCGATGGCGTCCATCTGAGTCCTGGAGCACACCTCGCTCATCGGGGAGGAGTCCTCGCCCTCCACCACCAGCTCGCTGGACATGTCGTTGTTTTTCTGCAGAAACGAAAAACCACAAAATCCTTACAAGTCACTAAGAAAAGCAGAAGTAGCACTGCCACAAACTGCAGACTGTGCTGATCTAATACGCAATGGAAGAGCGGTCCGTATTCAGCAGCATGCAGAGCCTCATGTGCTTCTGGTTATCAGCATTAACTAATTACAAACTCAAAAACTAAATGTTTAGAAGACTTGGCTGTGATGACATTAGGCCTTTTCTGAAAAAGGGGAAAGTTAAGATTTCCCAGTGGGACTATAGAAACAGGACTTCTCAGACCCTAAAAGGAGTATTGTTCAGCATCATGTGCAAACCTTTAAATTAGAGAGTGATGTGTCGAATGCAAGAAAGATAAGTATGAAAAGATACGGAGAATGTTTTAACCACTCTCTGTATTAAAGGAATAGTTTGTTTTGAGAAATACACTTTTCTTTCTTGCGAGTTATCCTAGAAGATTTCTTCATCAATAACCCTGTAATAAATAAAAACAAATTGGTTACAGTGCCAGTAGATTATTATGGAAGACGAGAATTTTATTCTGAAACTTTCAGAACCTATCGGTGGGAGACTGACTACATTAAGACACACTTTGCATCCACACCCACAGTGTTAATTGTGTAGATTTAATGTGCATTTCAATACCTACACTAACACTATTTAGTATGTCCCAAAAACATGATTTGGAGCATCTGTTCTAAATGAAAGGTATTTTTTGTTGCATGTATTCGTGACCGATTAGTTTAGTCACAGCTTCTCAAACTAAATGGCGATCATGATAAGCGAGGGACATGCCTGGTTGAAAATGGTTGCTGCAAAAAAATAAAACAATTTGTTGTGTACTCGAGCGTCTGCAATGAGCTCAACCCAGGTGTTCTCACCTGTTGTCGGTAAACATAGCACGCTGCTATGGCGACCATTGTCGACTCTCCTATGAAGCCGGCGAGGAGGGATCCAACCCCGAGTGTGGCCCCGTGAACCCTGAAATACAAAGCATTACAATGATGTGATGGGGAAGTGAATCATCATCCTGTTTCATCGTTTTAAGAATAAAAAGGTGAATCGGGGGGGGAAAAAAGACCCTATACTGTGGAAAAACACAGGCAGCCTGAGTCAGTGCTGGCCTTTGTGACCCTCACACTGTTCTCTGAAGTGTTGACTTACCCCATATAAGGCAGCACAACTAGACTGGTGATGAGGACAATGATGCGGAGAACCGAGCTGGGGGCCAGCACAAAGGTCTTTTTCAGGGTCATGAGCCATCCAGTCAAATGAGCCCGAACAGTCACTGGAAACACAAAGTGGAAACATCACCCCACTGGTAAAGTGCAGCTGGACACCGATGCTGAAAATCAAGTAATCTAATGCAGTGTCTTACCTGGCAGGGGAAAAAAGGAGAAAATTTGGAGCGGCACCACACACAGGTCAGCGAAATCATAGTCCACTCCGATGACATCAACCAGGATCTTCTCTGATAAATGAGGAGTCCAAAACACCACAAAGCAGAGCTGGAAACAAAAACGGAACAAAAGCAGATTCATTTTTTCATGTTCGCTGCACCACAATAGAGTCGCCCGGCACGCCCCGTTAGATTTCATTAACTAATTTAATGTGGGCCTTTTGAAGCTCACAAAAAAACAAGCGAGCGAGCAAATGCATGACGGACAATGTTATTGTTTCTGGAAGCGGTCGCAGAGGCACGTGCAACATCACCGAAGCATCTCGGCTATTACTGTATTGCGAGCACATTAGGGAGGGTTAAACAGAAGAATAAACCCGTCTGATCTGACCATGAATAATACATTAATTTGTTTAAAATTGTATAAAGATAGCTTCTCTGCACTCCAAACTTAGAACAAGCACCAGGGGGCCTAGAGAGTTTCTTTTTACAGAATGTTCTTTTCATTCAAAGCAAAAGCAAAATTCACCCCAATGTAAAAAACGCAACTCCAGCTGAGCTTTCCACCGATCACGCTTTCTGTTCGGGTATCTCTAGGCGAGGAAGTGAGACTTTCTAATTTCCAACAAATGGAAATTCACCCAATGAAACCATTCCTCATTTGAATGCCTTCTCTGGATTGAGTCCTTTCTCACAGGGCTCAGTTCTCACGGGGATCGTTCAAGGAAAAGAGTCCCAGCATCACTTCATTTCCACTGGGGTACCGCAGGGATCTCAGCTCGGTCCCCTTGTCTTCTCAATATACACTGATGACACTCCGCTCTGTCCGTCCTACCCGCCGGACGAGCCAACTGTCTCAGCACAGACCTCAGTATACACACCCCATTTTGATCTCTCAACATGGATGAAAAAACACACCACCTTTAACTCAATCTCTCTAAGACTAAATTGTATCTCATTTGTATGTTGCTTTGGACAAAAGGGTCAAAAGAATGCTTGCCAAATGAACAAAAGTTAAATGATTTAATGTTGCTGACAATGAGTCATACTTTATGGAAAGAAGAGGAGAGGAGAAAGGATGACACGAGATAAAATGTGACTTTCACAAACAAAAATCGCCCTGGAGTAATTCTATAAACCTTTCACCATCTCACTCTTCTTAAAGAATTACAAATAGGAAATTATACCGCAAAAAACCTTTGATGTGGTTTTGTGGTTGAAGATCCGAATAGATTACTTGTAACTGGTGATTTCACTTGGTATCGCCTTACCATCTATCATTATTTTAGCAAGATGTTGGCACATAACTAATTTGTTTGGCTCACAAGCGAAACCGCTGTCTTCCCTGACTCAGCTGTGGTTTCTCTAAACAAGGAGAGATGTCCACTCACTGCCACGACCGGGGCTGTTTTCACATGGGGAAACGATTTGTCCCGGGACATCGCTCGGTTCACTTCTCAGATATACTTCGCCCACCTCCTCCGGCGTTTGCATTCTTTTGTCTTTCCTTCGTGTTTAATCAGAACAAGCCCCGGCACGATGGCTGTCTGCTTGCGTTTGTTCCAGCGCCGCTACAGAACATACCTATCTGCCCGCTCTGCTGTGTCGAGCTTCACCACCCTCACATACTGTACATGTTTACAGCTCTGGGATTCCACATATGGTATGCAACCCTCCTCCTCCTCCTCCTCCTCAAAAGACCCAACCTTGGCCACAAACTGCCTGTTTTTCTTATTCGGGCTGTTACTGCTACTAACTGGGGCAAAAGCTTGTTTTTACTTAACAGACATTTCCTTTGCAGTTATAATTAGAGAGTCTGGATCATACAGTGTTCTTGCGGATCCACTGCGAGGGGCTTTAGGAATGAGTTAACCAATATGTTTTACGTGAGTGCCTATTTTATTAACCTCTTAACGCTTGGCTGGGAGTGTTGAGGGGAAACAAATGCCCCTTACCCTCTGCACAAATTCCACCCTAATGTCTCTCTCTGCAACTTGAGACCACGACTCCAAAGGAAAAGTACATTCAGGATTCCTGGAAGTCACTATAAACAGTGTGCGGCTGTACCTCCATAATTAACTTGAATGCGTCGGCTTTTTTTAGCACTCGTAAATTTTGCCTTTTATTCTGCGAAAGCGGTAAAGTTCAGAGATCTCTCGTGGGAATCTTTGTCAATATTGCTTTTGGCAAGCTTTGCAAAAACTCTGTCGTGTCAAACATGTTTCTGAAGAACACTGGACTAGTTCTGCCAGTCTTACAACTGAACCCTGACCTACACTCGGTATCATTCAATCTGTGGTGCAGCAGGATTACAAAAGGGTAAACACAGCAGAGGTGCTCTGTTTTGGGGGAATGTTATGCCCGTTGGTTGTGTGTTTTTTTTATGAAGCATGTGCAGAAATGGATTTACAACCCTGAAAATACACAAGACATTTGCTGTCAAAATGATATGGTGTTTACGGCATAATCGGGCATTTGGATATGAGGTTGTTGTAGGGCACC